GCCACCAGGGAAGCCCCAACCATATAATTTTTAATGCAAACAATTTTCTGAACATATGATATCAATAGTAAATTTAGAAATCTTCCTTTGGAGTGGCTTTTCTACTAATGCTGTATTGACTGACTTAGAATTTTTCAAATTCAAAACAAGTGATGAGATTTTAATTTTTCATCAACAAATATTAGGATATTTGAGATTTTGTTGAGCATGGGAGCCTCTCTTTAATGCCATAGCTCTGTTTTCTAACAGGCAAGCCCATTTTATCACATAAGAAAATAAAACTTTTTAAATAGGAGCAAATTCTGTCCTCATTTTTCATTTGACCCCAATAGAGTAAACAGTGTTATAATGAAGACATGATGTTTTTCCATGTTTGACATGCAGCATTTTTTAGAATCGTGTGTGTGTGTGTGTGTGTGTGTGTGTGTGTGTGTGTTAAAGACAATCATTCACTGGGTAATTTTAAAACCAAATATACACTTACCTGTCCAGGATTCATAAGGCAGAAAGGTGACTAGAATCATTGAAGACCCTCTAGATATAAAAGCTGACTCTCTGTTTTCATGGAGATACTAGAGAGATTTAGGTGCTTAAGGATGGCTCCTCAAGAACTCATCCCTAATTTATCCAATCATCAAACACTTTCTGAAATGTATGTTCCTTCAGCACTCAAAAAACAGTTTCTATTACAATGTTTGTTAATTCTTTCCGCAAATATGTGTTAAATGCTTGTGATGTATATGGGCAGCAGTAGGGCACAGAGGTTAGAACACAGGCCTGGACTTCAGACAGACTGATGTGTGATTCAGCCCAGCCACTTGGAGTCTTGTGACTTTGGTTAAGTTGCTTAACCTCCCTAACCTTTGTTTTATTCACCTGTAAAGTGGGATAATAGTAAGTATATTCCTATACACAGTTTATTTTAAATACTACTTGAAAGAGTAAATAAAATAATAAATTTAAAGCTCTTACTCACAAATTAAGAGCTTATTCAGCATTGGTAAATATTAATATTATCTATTATTATTTATTCTACTACTACTACTATCCTGTACTTAGTTTACTAACGAGAAAACCAAAGATATAGAATAACCAGAGCAGATCCTACCTGATCTCTTAGTCTTAAAGGAGAACATATCATACACAGATGAAATGTTAAGTAACCACCCAAGTACCCCATATGAGACTGTAAAATGCAGGAACATGAGGCTCACAGGTGGCAGTACAGTGTGATGGTTATGATTGTAAATTCTGCCAGAATCAGTTCCTTCTGTTCAAATCCTTATTCTAATACTGACCAACTGTGTCACCCAAGCCTAGTTATTTAACCTCTCTGTGCCTCTGTTTCCTCAAATGTAAAGTGAAATAATAAGAGTACATCCCTTAGATGGTCATTGGGAGGATTAAATGAAGTAAAGCGCTTGTGAGAGTGCCTGGCCCAAAGTGTTTACTAAATGTTAGTGACCATTACACACTTCTTGGTATCCAGCTCAAGACCTAGCAGAGTGATGTGCAACAAATATTTGTTGATTTGCTAGAAGTAATGGTATGAATACCAGACTACAGCCCTGTGACTAGAGTGTCATTAATTTGTAATTGAAGGGGAAAGAGTCATTGTGGGCTATGGAAGTAAAATGAATGCTCCTACAGACACCCAATTTCTTCCTTTTCTCACTAAGACAAGAAGTAAACTGAAAGTTTAAGGAAAGGAAGAAGAACATATTGACTGCAGCTATAAGGCAGTACATAAGGTAATGTGATAAACTAAATGTAATCCATTGACATTGGGCATCTCTGCCCCTGGACTTTCTGATTTGACTAAATCTGGTGGTAGTACCCCAGAGTTCTGGAACTCCAAGTACACTTACTCAGTGTTCTTCAAACTGTATCCATTGTCCTGTGACATGTTCATCACTCTTCCACGGGGAAAGTAAAAGGATGGGTGTTTTCCATGGTCAAATAGCTTTGGGAAACACTGATAAACACAGTTAAGTAGGTTTCTCAGAGGTTTTTTATGTATGAATCTCTAGGAGAGAATAAGATGCAAATACAGCACCTCCCCCAATGTATTCAACTGTGGAACTCTTTTCTCATAGAAAACCTATCATCATTTTCTATTGCACAGAAGGGAGGTGGGGAAATGCTGCTTCAATTGGAAGGAAAAATCTTATCAGCAAAATAACAAGTAATATGGAAGAAATTTAGGGGAAAAAGGGAGAATTAATGTTTTGAATACCCATGAAATGCCAGAAACTTAAATGACAACTTAAATAATCCTTGCAGTCACTGCATTATGTTTTATCACCAAGATTTTACAGAAGAAGAATTTGAAGCTGAAAGATTAAAATAAAGTCACACAGCTATTGTAGTAAGGGAAAGGGGTGCCTGTTTTCATTAACTGAAATACTTCTTAAATATATGGAATTGCAAACTGGAAGAAGGAAGAATGACAGAGAAAGGTAACTCCAGGACAAGTATGCACAACTCCCATTTTTTTCTTTTCATCATTTCACCCCCAAAATATGTTAACTGAAATCCACTGAGAATAAGATGGGGAAAGTAGTAAGTCTTAATACAAGAAGTACAGAGCAAATACAAATAGCTCTAAGACAAAGCACAAGATGCCACAGAAAATACTGACTATGTTCTTTTCACATTTTAGTACCACAATTCCTTTACCTTCCACTGAGTAATTTTCATAGCAGATACATGAATAGTGAGTCAGTATTTCAGTGGTCCTGGTTTCCTTTGAATAGAGAACCAGTAAAACCAAGACAAACACATTTTTAAAACTCCGTAGTTTAAAAGAGGGACCGGGTTGTGGAATCTGCCTTGAACATTTTTTCATATATATATATATATATATATATATATATATATATATATACACACACACACACACACGTATCATATATGTGTGTGTATATATATACACACATATGTATTATATATATGTGTGTGTATATATATAATACACACAGGTAATTAGCACTACTGTTCACTGAAGAAGAATATCTTCCAACTGTGCCCACCAATGTAGCCTAACAAGTTATTTTTATAACTTGGATATAGTTTTATTATTGGATCAGAGGGCCTGACACAGATGAATGATTTTCTGAGAGGCTACCACACCATCCATCTGGAATAAGAACACGCAAAGGAACTTTGGTAACCCTGTACTGTAGATTCCTTCCCTTCAGGAAACCTCAAAGCTCAAAGGTGTAGGACCAAGGGCAATAAAATTGCCAGGTTCTGGCCAATGGACCACTTTTGCAATACTCTGGGACACTAGGGTCAGACATTATTTTTCATATGCAACACTAATAATGTAATTTGTGACTCAAAAGAAGGTCACCTCTCCGAGTCAGTGACTATTACCTAATTGCTTGAAGGATTTTTCCAGACAGGTGGTCTGGAAATATTTTACTTACTGACGTCTCTGAACTTTTCAAGTCTTTTGCCTCCAAGATATCTTGGAGAAAGTGAGACAACGCCACACACCTTGTAGTTTTGAGAGCATTTCCCCAAATAGAACATTGTCTTACTTGATCCTCAAAGTAACCTCAAAAGTAGGTAAGACGAGTACTTTCATTCCCATTTTAAAGAGGTATAAACCGAGGCTTATGCAGTCACAATGAAGGACTCCCAGGGTCGAGTCCAGCACTCTTAGTGTGACAGCCTTGGGACTCAGCGTGCATGAACTGGGAAGCAAAGTGGAATTATCACTGAGAACTGCATCTCAGAAAATCTTTTGGTTTCTTTGCCTACATTTCATAGATATTCTTCTCAATCAAATTATACCATGGCCACAATATACAAATGTTCTGACCAAAATGTCATGTTCGTGTATCTACAGAGTAGATAACCTTATAAAGTGTTTACTTTTTCCTTTTTTCTTCTTTTGTGAAATAGCCTGAAAACAGCTCCCCCTTGCCGTCCTTCCAAGCGTATCTTCACCAAAGTTTAAAGGCAGAGCTAAGGGAGAGGGTTAGTAATCCTGCCCGTCTCATGCCCTGCAGCTGGGCTCCAGCTGCCCAGAGTAACTAATTAATAGGTAGGTGGTCTTTTCTCTCTTTGCTTCAGAGAGTCTCTTTTCTGCCTGGAGGTTGCCTCTTTCTCATCCACCAGCACAAGGAGCCTGGCGGCTTTTCGCTCCGGTGTCCTGGACAGCGCTGCCTGGGCTGCCGCTCTCCAGCAGCGGCTCTTCGTCCACCCGAGGAGATGTCCCCAGGATTCAGTAGTAACCAGACGAAGTCCCCATGGACTACTGTGGCCCAAATCCCGCCCATCCCAGCTGTGGGAATCAGGCTTTTCCCGGAGAAAACCCCGGGAATCAAGTTTAGAGAAAACTCCTTAAGTCCCACCCACCCCCCAACACGCTCCCAGCCCCGGGGGAAACTGGAAAACCAGGAGACATTCCTTTTCCCCCCGCTGTAGATAAGTGCACTGTACAGGCAGCCGCCGGGACTGCGAGCGCGTCCTTCCGGTCCGCGAACGCGGGCAGAGTAACAAACAGCAGGCATCAAAGTTACCGGGAAGAGAGCGTCCTTTAAGTCACCCAGTTGTTACCCTACAGAGGAGGGCGGAGAGGAGCGGGGTTGGTGTGAGACGAAATTCCCGTAGCCACGTTGCCCTGAGAATAAAATTAGACTGGCTTCCCCGGGATGGGCGGACCCGCTGCGGACGGAGACACCCAAGCTGAAGCAGGTGGGCACACGCGCCAAGTTCAGCATCAAGAGCACCCACGCGGGCGGTGGACTCGGGATTTCTGGGTATCATGTTGACAGCGTCTGTTGAAGTCAAATGCGGGGGTTAAGGTGACCCTTGACGGAGGCTAGAGGAAATGATGGTAAACCCTGAAAAGGCATGACATGTCCAGATCTCCAAGGTTTTTTTTAGAAGAGAAGAGAGGGAAAGCGCCACGGTCAACCCCCTATTACGCCAAGTAATCCGCGAGTTCCCAGCCCCACCCCTGCAGCAGCGATGCAAAGAGGACAAATCACCGACGTAGGGAGGGGGAAAAAAGAAAACCCCCAGGGAAGAGGGAAGGGAGGCAGCGAGTGTAGGCACCGAGCAGTCTCCAACCACTGAGGCGAGAGGGAACGCGATCTGGGGAAACAAACTCCGCATCAATAATTTGAGTTTGGAGCCCAGTGCTTTCAGAGATTCGGAGCGCACCTCCCCAGCTTCGCCCGAGTTGAGACAGGGCAGCGCAGGCAAAGGGGCGGGCAATTCGACCGAGAGCGGCCGAACTGGCTGGTGGCACACGCTGCGCCGGGAGACACCCGCAAGAGAGCGAGCAGAGCCCGGCTCGCGGTGAGCGCTACAAGGAGGGAGCGCACCGCGCGAGCAGGCGGGAAGGGAGCGGGCCTCCGCCGAGGCCGAGGAGGCGCTGCATGGACAGCATGAGCTTCTCCGGGAGCCCCGGCGCGGGGCCCGCAGGGAACTCCAGCCCATGGTGGCCTCTGGACGCCAGCGGTGCCAACACCAGCTGGGAAGCGGAGGCGCTCGGGAAAGATGACAGCCCGCTGGCGGACGAGCGCAACGAGGAGCTGGCCAAGCTGGAGGTCGCCGTGCTGGCCGTGATTTTCGTGGTGGCCGTGCTGGGTAACAGCAGTGTGCTGCTGGCGCTGCACCGCACGCCTCGCAAGATGTCCCGCATGCACCTCTTTATCCGCCACCTCAGCCTGGCCGACCTGGCCGTCGCTCTCTTCCAGGTGCTGCCTCAGCTGTGCTGGGACATCACCTACCGTTTCCGCGGACCCGACGGGCTCTGCCGCGTGGTGAAGCACCTGCAGGTGTTCGCCATGTTCGCATCGGCTTACATGCTGGTGGTCATGACCGCCGACCGCTACATCGCAGTGTGCCACCCGCTGAAGACGCTGCAGCAGCCGGCGCGCCGCTCGCGCCTCATGATCGCTGCCGCCTGGGTGCTGAGCTTCGTGCTGAGCACTCCACAGTACTTCGTCTTCTCCGTGGTCGAAGTGAGCAACGTCACCAAGGCCTACGACTGCTGGGCCAATTTCATCCAGCCCTGGGGTCTCCCCGCCTACGTGACCTGGATGACCGGCAGCATCTTCGTGGCGCCCGTGGTCAGCCTGGGCACCTGCTACGGCTTCATCTGCTACCACATCTGGCGCAACGTCCGCGGAAAGACTGCGGTGCGCCAGGGCAAGGGCGCCCGCGCGGAGGGCGCAGGTGGCGCCTTCCACCAGGAGCTCCTGCTCGCGCCGTGCGTCAGCAGCGTGAAGACAATTTCCCGCGCCAAGATCCGCACGGTGAAGATGACCTTCGTGATCGTGACGGCTTACATCGTTTGCTGGGCGCCCTTCTTCATCATCCAGATGTGGTCTGTCTGGGATAAGAATTTCCCCTGGGTCGGTAGGTGTCGCGGGACGATGGAGTAAGGTGCACAGATGGGGTCTGTGTGCTTGGGGGGGGTGGGGGGAGAGAGTTTCTTTTCATAATATCCTCTAGGGCAATAGTTTTTAAACTTCGTGCATGAGAATCACATCTTGAGCGGAACTGTTAAAAGCCAAAGTCGTGGGGTCCCCACCCCAGACGTTTTGATTCAGTAGATCTGGAATGGGGCCCAGGAATCTGCATTTGTAACGAGCTCCTAAAACCACAAATCCAGAAAACTGTGCCCTAGAGTCAGCCGCGCAATTACAGAACAGAATAATGACTTCTTGCCAAAGCACTAACCGCTGTGTTAAAACCCTGCTTTGAAGTCTGTTGGATTCAGAGCAATATGTATACTGTCACAACTGCTTTTTGCTAGTTTGTGAAAAGTATCGCAATGTAAAATTTTTGTAGAAATGCCCCAAAGTAAGGGTAAAACGGACATATTTTTAATTTGAAAATAGTTTAAATGTGTTGAAGAGAGATTCTTAAGTCAATCATTCTAATTTGGCATTTAGCTAGTGTTCCATTTCTTATCATAATGTTTTGATTTTTTCCTACAATTACTTTAACACTTTTTTCTCCCCAGTGTTTCAAAGCAGGATTATTAATAAACTCTAAATTTGTTAGACTGATTCATTAGTCCTTCAGCACTAACTTGACCACACAGCTGTACATCTCTCCACACAACTCTTGTAGTTTTCTGAGAATGTCCTCCGCACCTACTAGCTCGTTTGATTTTAATTCCTTCACAAACTAGGAAAACCAGCTTCACGAGAACTTACCCCCAAAAGCATTATTTAATATTGTATCTTGAAAAAAAATTTCCTTTGATAAGGAAAACAAAAATTTTTTTTCACATCAAATATATTACAGAAATGTTGCTGGCAACAACTGTAATTGGGAAACAGGTATCTGGGAAGAAGTGTCTCCTTTTGTTATTTGTGATATACTTTGAAAGTTGTATGTACAAATTAAACACTTGAGAGTGAATTTAATTCAGACAAATAAAAGTCATGGCTATAATAGCACTGATGATGAAAAATACAACATAAATGCTATATTTCCTGTCTTGTTTGGTCTTGGCAGCCTCTTAAGTATTAATCAAATAAAAAATTCAGCCTATTTGTTGCTCTATCAGGATTCAGACACAATTACTAAAAAATTCTTCACTTGTGCACAGGTATGTCGATGATTTCCATTCTTTCTGAATACAGTCTTAGTCCTGGATCCTGATCGCCTTTAAGAGTAGCATCTTAGCACAAAGTTTGATTAACTAACCTGTAATTTATTCTGGCGCAACAAGAGTGAGAAGGCCCAAGTTCATAATTAATAAGGGAAAATCAGTGCTTGCCTATTATTCTTACCTTTAGAAAAGGTATATTCTCAGTGCAATAGTTCTATGGTGAAAGGTGATATTTATGTAGTTTACCAGTGCAAATACACAAAAAATAGTTCAAAGGACTGTTGGAATTTCTTAATTTATCTGTTCTTCATAATATAATTTAATTGTTCAAGCCACAATCAAAGATGGTTTTCTTTTAAAATCAGATGAAGCTTCTAATTAACCAAAGAAAACAACTAAATATTGCATCTTTCAGGGACCTATTTCAACTACCCCCTTCGGTATAGATTTCTTATTACAAGAATATGTTTAATAGTAAAAAATTTAAAACAACTAAACATGGTCCATAATGTCATACTTTTGCCTGAGTTATCAGGATGGATATAATTTGGTATATGTGGCTATAGCCTCTAGAAATTTCACTGAAATGGAAGCCGTTCTCTAAGTGCTGTGTTCATTAGCACACGCTAGTGCTAACATAAAGGATTCAAAACTTTATTAAGTTATTTAATATTCTTAACCTCTTGGAAGTCCCACTCATTCTACTTAAATATTTTAATAGTGGTTTAAAATCCCTGAATTAATTTCAAGGCATCTTGCCTACGAAAATATTTTACAACCAAGCAATTTCCATTCACCAACCATTTCCCTGACTGATAAACAAAATACTTTATTTTCTATATTGACCCATAACATTTTCCAGCTTTCATGAACCAACAGAAAAATGAGTTTATCCAGTGCTGTCACTTGCATTTGACTAGTTAAATGCTCTCCCCTTATGTTTTCCATACAGAGTCGGAAAACCCGGCCACCACCATCACTGCATTACTGGCTTCCTTGAATAGTTGCTGCAATCCCTGGATATACATGTTTTTTAGTGGCCATCTCCTGCAAGACTGTATCCAAAGCTTCCCATGCTGCCAAAACATGAAACAAATATTCAACAAAGAAGATTCTGACAGTATGAGCCGAAAACAGACTTCCTTCACTAACAACCGAAGCCCCACAAATAGGACCGGCGTGTGGAAGGACTCAGCTAAATCTTCCAAGTCCATCCAATTCATTCCTGTTTCATCCTGAGCATGCAGCCTGACTCCTGTAATGGACTTTTCAGCCCACTGATTGAATCCAGCTAGAAATTATTAGAACAAATATAAGATAAATCAATCTGTTGAGTACAAGACTGTGTTTCTAGTTGCATTTTCACATTGCTACAAGCAAAAGCTATGAATTGTTTTATATGGAATGTTAATAAAAACATGCCACACTAAAATCTGCAGACCTAACCCAGAAATAACAGAAGTCATATTTCTAAAGGAAAAAGCATAATCACCTGGCTTTATATTTTGCTGTGGGTTTCTTTTCTTTTTATTTCTGACATAACTAAGGTTTGGTTGGTTTAGAAGTCGTATAATGTAGGGGCATTATTTCTGAACAAAGTAAGCTCATCAGCAGCCTTAGGGTTTGAAAGGAATTAGAAGAGACATCAGAGAAATTATGTTTCCATCCAGTAAAATTAATTTATGTATCAGAAAATGCAGTCTCAAACCATGGCCTGGAGTGGGATGGTGCCTTGAAGAGGCATGAGAGCTTGAGGTATATTGAGTAGGGGGTGCCTGTTGCAGAGTGGAAAGAGGAAAGTTCTGTTAGAAGCTATAAATCACCTCCATTTCAAAACAGTAACTTTAAAACTGGCAGTTCCCTCCTTTGGTTCCTCATGTTTCATTGGTTGTCAAAAGCACGATTACCAAGATGCTGAAGGTTAGAGAAAATGTTGTCAACTGGCCGATAGTATCTTTTTCTTCCCACTGCAAAGCTGCTTTAAGGTCAGATTTGTATGAAAAATATGCAATTTTATTAGAAGAGTAGAAAGTAGACTGCCTAAGGTATTATGTAGGCTTTCTCTAGAAAATTGTAAACATGTTTTGACCAGTGTTATAAGGTATCCTGTGCTATACTGGATATTAACACCATCATTACTTCATGTCTGAGGAATCCAGATTCATAGATATGAGTCTCCTAAAGAATGACTCAGGATACTGAATGTTCCCTCATGTTTAATTAAAAATAACTTGGTCCTTCCTTCTGATCACCCACCCGTCAAACAGTCTCACAGTGGAGGAGAAGCAGGGCTGGACAGGAAGAGGGCGGGGAAATAGAAAGAAAACTGCTCTGCATCTAGTCTGGCTTCCTTCGTTATTAAGTGCATGACTTTAGGGAAATGGCTTAAAAAGACATAAAGCCTCCATTTCCTAGGCTGTACAATGGCGTTGATAACACTTACCTCACAGGGTCGTTGTAAGGACGAAATGAAATCAAGTGTGTGAAAAGATCTTCCTAAACTGTCAAGTGCTGTATGAGTGTTAGCTCTTGCTTTTATTACAGTCTTTTGCCCAGGCAGCGGGGGTTGGAGGGGGGGTCTTCAAAACTTCACAGCTTTTTCCTGTTTGCTTTTCATTAACCAGAATGTGTTGGTTTCATGTCTGGCATACAAAATCCTAAAATTTAAATATAGCTCTGCTGATTAATCGGAAAGCATCGCCAACGGCCACTGTTAAGTCTAACTGCTGCCTAACCAAAGCTTTCCTATTTAAAGAGAGAGTTTGCTTTCCTTTGACTGCAGGTAAATTGAAGCCAGCCAAGAGCATCAACTTCTTTCATTTCTAAACAGAGGTAAATTACAACACTACTGGCTGTTGTTACTGCATTTTTCATTAATGGAACTCAGTGGGGTTTTTTGAGCTATTCTGTCTGGCTCCTTTTCCTTCTTAGAGACCTTGCAATGATTTGAGGATACATCATAAATACTTTGCATCCCTTAGAGGAAGTAATAGCTATTTTAATAGCATTATTGTTTTTTTTTAAACTTTGTCGATAAGAAACTGAGCACTGAATGGCACTACGAAAACCTGGAACCATCAACCTCACTCCTCTTCATTCTCTTGCCTTTCCAAATTCTCAGGCCTTTTTCTCCCTGGATTTATATGCCTAAAAAAAAAAAAGTTTCCAAATGTTTTATAGAGATTACGCCCTTAGGTTTTAGAATTCTGCTTTTTTTTTTAAATAACAAATATGTCTCTTAAAGGGCATTGTCCAATATGAGCCATCAATTAAATTCATCAGTTCTTCATTATTTGAGTCATAGCAGCATCTCAGTATCCCTGCCCTCTGTAATGTTGTCAGCCCTTTTGACAGCTTGACTTTGACAACTCAAAGCTAAAGCCTTTTGGGTTGGAACAAATAAGAGCCCGCTTTTTTCTAAATGCAATTCCAAAATAATAACCTCATAGTTCTTGTATAGATTGTTTCAAAATATTGACGTGTACCTCCAAGTAAAAAAAATCAGTTTGAATCTTATTTACAGGAACATCTCTCAAATAAGGTGCAAATTAACCTACCCAGCCATGTTTTCTCCTTTTAAATGCATCAGGACATGAGATAGCAGAAAAGGGGCTGGGGAGACACCAGAAGATCTGGGTGCTAGTTCTGCACTAGGCAAGTACGTGGTCTTATTCTTTGCGGTTTAGGCTGAGAAGCTTAACTTACCTAGCTGCTAAACTTTCCTAATGTTATACACCCAGGAATGGCATTTAGATCTCCCAGAACAATATTCCAAATTGGAAGAGTCCTGACCGTCTATTTCAGAAGAAAGGAAATTGTAGGTGGTAAGGAAGAAGAGTATACTGGGAAGGGAAGATTTCCCTTTCTTGACCAAAGAGAAGACCTGAGATATCTTAAATGAAGGTTTGCAGTCAAGGATAAATGTGTTTCATCACCTTATTTTATTTGCCAGTTACCTGTGGGAAGATCCTGCAAGTATACAATATTAATGTATCTATGTGGGTATGGGAAATGCAATTGATAACCCACCAGTAAGGAGAAACTGGTGATATTTCTATTGGACATTTGATAAACATTAATTGATGATGAAAAAACCATTTTTAAGTACATATTAAGTGCTTAATGGGTTAATTTTTGGACATGTATTTTTAAAGTGTAAAAATAACTATGAAGGAAATTAGTGAAATTCTTTGGTTAATTAAATATTTGTCCTACACACAGAACTTCCACCATCAGCAATGAAGTCTCATGCCATGATTGAGGGAAGCGTTTTTGGTTTTTTTCTTAAGAGAGGGAGGTATTTTTTTATTTTTATTTTACGTTAGTTTTTTGGCCACACGCATGGCATGAAGGATCTTAATTCCCCCACCAGGGATGGAACCTGTGCTCCCTGCAGTGGAAGCGCAGTGTTCTAACCAATGGGCCACCAGGGAAATCCTGGGTGGGGTTTTCAAAGAGAAAAAAAATCAAGTAATCTTAATAACATGCAGTACCCTTCCAAACTTATTATAGTTCCTAGAAAGGACAACTACTGATGATTAAGAAACACAACTTTCATTGTTATTCACAAGTAAAGTAATCCAATTAGGTTAAATTTTTATGTTTTTCAGACTCTAAAACCTATATTTTTGTAACATAATTGGACACTCAGAGCTTTAAATTATAGCTTCAGAGTTTGACCCTACCATAATTAGAAGCCATCTAGAGAGAAATTAAGCCTCATCCTCAACCGCAAATATCAGAGATTTGGTTCCTTTAAACCCATGTAAACTGGGCCCTTACGGATTTTCATACTGGAGGCAACTTCTTTACTTAGACTAAGCTCAGGGCAGGGCCACCTGGGATGCTAGTCCTGGAGGTGTAGAAGCAGCCACTGTATCCCTGTCCTTTCCCTCCCTGTGGTCTTTTTAGTGCCACTCAGTGTCATTGGCAACACTTGACATCATGAGTAGCACATGGAGAATAAATATTAGAGAATGTTTCTTAATTAAAATTTGACCTCTGCCAATTTGAGCAAAAATTTAAGAACTATTCACAGGAAGAGTTATTTCCTTTAAGGCCCCAAGAGAGCCTTAAATGGGTGGAATCACATAAATTCCAGTGCACACACAGGCATTTTAAGAATATTGTTCTAACTCAGTTTTTAGGTACATTAAATTATGATGAATGAAAATGTACATGTGACCTATAGTATGTCAGCATCAAAACTATATATTTTAGGTGAAAATTAAATGCCATTTTTAAATTATAGATATATATATCGCATCTTTTTACATTAATTTATATGTTAAATAAAAACAAAGTGTTATAGAGTGAATTAAATATTTTTGTGTTCCAGGGTCAAATTAGCAAATTCAGAAAGGGAAATCTGAGAATAAGTCTGATAGTAATATCAGAATAATTAGCATTAATATAAAATAATTAGCATCTCCACACTTGAAAGTAGTTGTCTTTATATCACAGGATTTCTGACTTAACATATTCTATGATGCTTTAGCTCATTATTATAGCAAATTTATTAAGAACTGATATTGTACACCATTGTAAAGCAATTATACTCCAATAAAGATTAAAAAAAAAAGAATTGATGTTGTATATTTAGTATTCCATTTTTGGAACTGCGTTTTCAAATGTTCTGTATCTCCTAGCTTATTATGCTGTGCAGAAGAATTTCAGTGTGTTTTCTTGGGACAATTGTATGGTTATGGTTTTGATGAATATTGAAATGTTTTGTGATTGTATCTAATATTTGGTCCTTTACAGAAAAAAATAGCTTGTGGGATTATATTGAAATAACTTGTGGATTTATTACTCAGTTTTATTATGTATTCACTTGATTCTATAAATAAACATAAATACCAAATTTGACAAACGGATAAAGAAGATGTGGTGTATATACACAATGGAATATTATTCAGTCATAAAAAGAATGAAGTTCTGACATTTGCAGCAACATGAATAGACCTAGAGAGTATTATGCTTAGTGAAATAAGTCAGAGAAAGACAAATACCGTATGATATCACTTATTTGCGGCATCTAAGAAATAATGCAAATGAACGTATATAGCAAAGGAGAAACAGACTCACAGATATCGAAAACGAACTTGAGGTTACCAAAGGGGAGAGAGAAGGGGGGAGGGAAAAATTAGGGGTAGAGGATTAACAGGTACAAACTACTATGTATAAAATACATAAGCAACGAGGATATATTGTAGAGCACAGGGAATTATAGCCATTATCTTGTAATAACTCTTAATAGAGTACAATCTTTAAAAATACTGAATCATTGTGCTGTACCCCTGGAACTAATAAAATATTATAAATCAACTATAGTTCAATTGTAAAAATGTCTGATCAAAAAAAGGAAAAAAAATCAAATTTGTCTGAAATAATTCTCTTACAATCTCGTTTAATAAAAAAATATATTTCAAG